GGGGGGGAGGGAGGGAGGGAGGGAGGGAGGGAGGGAGGAAAGACTAGAGGAAGGGAAGCAAGCAGCTCATACAGTCTTCCGAATGCCAGGTAAATATGTTAAAATCTGAATGGAGAAGAAAGAACCTCAACGATGACCATGATTACAAAGATTATTAGCTTTTATTTGGATGGAACCACGTAATCCTGAGACAGCCCGGATATACATGACTTTCAAAGACCCCAGAACATAACTTGCAAGAGTCTGACTGTGTAATAACTGTATTGCCTTGTTACTACATCAAAGAATGCTTTATCTATTTCTAATATTAAAAAAAAAATTGAGTGGAAAATTCAAAAAAATTAGTTGATAAAAATATATTTAATCCTATTGCATAAAAGCTAACATACTCTATATTCTAAATACAATTTGTTTTATTTAAAGAAAGACTTGCCGGGCAGTGGTGGCGCACGCCTTTAATCCCAGCACTTGGGAGGCAGAGGCAGGTGGATTTCTGAGTTTGAGGCCAGCCTGGTCTACAGAGCGAGTCCCAGGACAGCCAGGGCTACACAAAGAAATCTTGTCTCAGAAAAACCTAAAAAAAAAAAAGAAAAGAAAAAATAAAATAAAATAAAGAAAGACTTGTCAAATATTAAGAAATCTTTCCATGTGATGAGGCTTTTTTTTAATGACTGTAGCCATGTATTCCTCTTGTCAGAAGAAAGAACCACATATTTCCCTATGATGTCAGCAAAGTCTTTGAAATGTCTGGACAGTTGACTGATTAAAAGCAAAGCTAAACAAACAAAAACCCCACTGTTTAATTTTTTTTAACGTTAAAGTTACTTAGACTTATAAAAGTTACAAAAAAGTTGCCAAATTTTCGAATTCACTTTAGTCTGTTTCCTATAATGTTTACATTTAAGGTAACTAAGCTCTTGATTACCGAAACAAATAAATCCATCCGGCACAACACTGTCACTGATTTTGGGATTTATTCAGAATCCATCAGTGTTGTGGTTTGAATGTGGAATGTTCACCAGAGGCTTGTACGTTTGGATACTGGGTCCCCACGGGTGGCGATTTGGAAGGCGGTGGGACCTTTAGGAGGTTGGTCTTGCTGAAGGAAGAGGCCCACTGGGGGCAGGTCGCTTCTCTGTGTTCTATGCTTTCACACTACAGAGGCAATGTGTCGTCTGCCTCACGATCCTGATGTCTAGCTTTCTAAGCAGTAATGTACTGTAAGCTGTAAGCAGCTCCTTGTCAAGTATTAGTTAAAAGCAATGAGAAAAGTTATACAGAAAACTGGTGTGGTTCAGAAGGGTAGCCATTGCTGTGGTCAGCCTGTTCGTGTGGTTCTCAGGCATCTGGAGGTTCTTTGTAGGAGGAATGTGGAAGAGTCTGGAACTGGAAGTCACACAAGTCCTAGAATGACGTCAGTGGGACGTAATGGGGTTTCTGGTGGCAGTTTGGAAGGCCAGAAGGCTCACAGGAATGCAGACCTAAAGAGGAAGCTAATGGTTAGGGGGGCAGCTAAAGAGGTTCTTGATTCAAGACTGCCACCCAGGGAGGAGTTTTCTCAGGGTCAGCCTCAAAGGCACATAGAGGCTACTATGGCTGTGGTGCAAGGTAGGCTAGCCTATATTTCAAGCTGGCAGTAGAAGTTGGCAGCATTATTCTCATGGCTTTTTCCCCCCAGACATTAAAGACGTGAAATTAAAGGGGTTGTGGATTGTTTTGTGGTCTGGTGTCAAGGGTATAGAAAGCCACCAAGGCCATACAGTGTGTGCATGGTCAGAGCTCCTACAAAGAGGATTTTATAGATCAGTTCATGAAGCTGTGGAGGCGAATCTCATGGTAACAGAGTCCCTAGAATGTTGGAGATGCTGGACTTGCTACAAAAGTTCAGGTTGAGCAAGGAAAGCTAGAGGCACCGAGTGGATCTGTCCTAAGAGAGAAACCATGTATGCTATAGGCAGTAGAATTGGAAGTGGAGCAGCCAAAGCACTTCAGAACCAGTCAATTCTGCCAGACCCCAGATTCCAGACTGGGAGGGAGCTGTAGGGTATGGTGCATGCCCTAGCAGGTTTTGCTTTTGCTTCCATTCTTCCTTTTTAGAATGGAAATATGTATCATTGTGCTGGAAGTATGTAAGTAATTTGGCTTTGACCTGTGCAGAGACTCAGTTAAGAGAATACTTTGATTCTCAGAAGATGCTGTACACTTGTGACCAGAGTTGGGACAGCCATCAGCTTGTGGAGGCCTGTAGTAGCCTGTGTAGGGTGAAAATAAAATGTCTCCTGTGAGGTAATGTTTGAACACTTGGTCCTCAGATGGTGGCACTGTTTTGCAAGTCTGTGAAGCTTTTAGGTGGGAGCCTTCTTGGAGGAAGTAGGTCACTAGGGCAGACCTCAGGGTTTTGTCTGGCTCCATGTCCTGTCTATTCTCTGCTTTCTGGCTGTAGAGGCACTGAGTCACATGACATGTTGGTGATGTCATACCTTCTATGCCATGACAGACTGCCTTCCTTTTTAACATGGAAGCCAAAATTAACTTATCCCCTCTTGAATTGCTTCTTGTCAGGTATTTGGCCACAACTATTGGGAAAATAACTAATATAATCAGAATTTCCTGATGTACCTGTTTTTTGTTCCTTGTCTTGTCTGGATCTTTTCTCCCGAAGTCTCTTGAATTCTGTTTTATAACAGTGCCATCTGCCTTAGGGGTATGTTTATAGCTCAGGATGATGAAGCTTTGGGCAATATCATCCATCTAGTTTGTGGCAACATCTCCTTTCGGTGCTAGTCATTCATTGGGTAATTCTTGCTGTTGTTTCTACTTTTAAAAAACATCTGGTTACTGAATGAACTGGCTTCTCCTAGATCAGCTATTTGCAGGGGAAGGGACCCAGGCAACTGTGAACATGAGACATTTCAGTGCCTTCTCTTGCTGCCAGGGGACTGACACTTTTTTATTTTTTGTATTTATTCTTCTTTCATACAATATATTCTGACCACCGTTTCCCCCTCCTTCTTCTCCCTCCCAGTCTCACAATCCCCCACCAACTCTCTCCTCCAGATCCACTTTCCCCTGAGAAAAGGCCATGCCTCGTAGGGATATCAACCGAACACTGCATAACAAAAATCTTAAGTAGGGCTCCTCTGTGTGTTTCTCCTTTGAGACCACAGCTCCTCTGCCTCTGCCTACTTCCCGAGGACGACTTCTGAACCAGCTTTGAAGTTCCCTGGCTTTCAGGAGCCTTGTTTTTGCAACCAAATCCGGACATCTACATCCTAACCACTACAGAAACACTTAGCATCCTCACCCTATATTTTTTTTCTAGCAAATTGCCTCTGTAGGCTTGATCCCAGGACTATCCTTCCAGTATTTCAGAGTGGTCTTTCTCCATCAGGGAGGAGATGAGATCTGTCTCTACCAGATCTCAGAAGCCCCGTCCAACCTTCTGCTGCCTCAGGCAGTACCTTTACATATCTGAACTTTATTGATTTTCTTCAGTGTTCTAGCTTTGCATGAATTTGACAGTTTTTACATTTCTGCCTTTTGGTTTTCTTTGTTCCCCTCCAGGGTATATATAGAAAAAACTAAAAAATTCTAATGAATGAAGTGTCTGTGTTAAGCTTACCCACATGCTTTTAACATGTGCTTTGGTTTATTCCCCTCACCCCATTTAAGTGAGAAAAGGCCTAAGGCATGCGACTACAGAGACAATCTCTTATTACATAACACTCAGTGTTAGTTACTTTTTGTGATTTATTTATTTACTTACTTATTTATGTCTTTTCCCTGAGGGCTTTAGTTTTCCTGTAACAATTTTTGCAAATCATGATCTGTGCCACAAATAAGCGCCTGGCCATCCTGGGTTAATAATCTCACTGACTTCAATGACGCTATAATCAAAGCATAAGGGTCAAAGGTTTTTTGAGCTCACTTGGTTGTACACCATTCTGATGATAGCAACTGATTCCTTACACGGACTGCTTATTTCTTAGCCTCACCAGTGACTACGGGCTGATGGTCGTCTTTCTCACTTTTAAGATCAGTAAGACAGAGAGAGCTGATATTTGCAGTTGCAGCTACACACAGACCTGCAACCTAGAGCACAAGGGGGGGCCCTCCCCTTTCTTTGCTCATGCAGCACAGGTTCACTCCTGTAATTCTAAGGGTTTCATTATTTGTCATCTGGTTTCTTAATCTGCTCATTCTAAAATGTTTCTACGATCTATTTTTATCTATAGCATCATTTTTAAAAAAGGAAGACTAATATATTTTGCTGTCATTTTGGATACAGGTTTATTTTCTGAAAGTATTGAAAGTTGTTATATGTACATGAAATGAAATCTTATAAAATGTAAAACACTCAACACCTACAAGTTATTTCTTGAAGTCTCTTATTTTTCATCTGACTTTGCCTTTCATCTATGACCCAATCTCTAGGTATATGAATAGACATCACTGATTGTCATCAAATATGCATCCCTGATACTTCACAAAGCATAATTGTTCTTCTGTAACTTGGTTTAACATCAGAGGAAGAATTATGACAGCCTTCAAGCTGATATCTTCATAGAAAGCAAATAGATATTTGAATAAAAATAGGAATGGCCTATTTTTGGAATGTCTTTTTAAATTTTCTTTTGTAGATATTTCTGGGTTTTTCCCTTGTATAGTTTCAAAACTATAACATGGAAATTAGTAAGGATACACCTCTAGTAACAAAGTGTTGCAGCTGGGTTAAAGTTGTATATTTCTATTGACACATCACTTTACTGATTTACGGCAGTCACATGAGAAATTTCCTGAACCGTTTCTTTAGAACTATAAAACATTTACTCTGTGCTCCAATATTTCATCACCTTGGCTAACATTTGTGGGATGTAGCTGTTCATTTTCATGTCATGTCATGTATGACTCATTTTACTAATAATTTTTAAAAAATTTTTACGAAGTATAAACAGGACAAACCACTAGGAAAGTTAAGAATAAAACACTTTTGAGGTGAGCAACTGAATGGATATTCATACAAACAGGCCATGAGGAAACTGCACAATACCCAGAAAATAACAAAGCCAGGTGTGAGATCCCATGACTTACTGTCTACGTATAAGTGAATGAGTAAATCCCTGCCCTTTCCAGGTGTGTATTTCTTCACCTTCAGCATGATGAAGCATGAGGACGTAGAGGAAGTGTATGTGTACCTTATGCACAACGGCAACACAGTCTTCAGCATGTACAGGTACGTGACGTCTTCTATCACAGGTCTTGTGAATGCTGCTGCATCAACAGCCGGATGCAGCAGTTTTGTTTATCATCTTGTTTCACCTCAGCTAACCAACTCAGGAGCAGCAAGAAACTAGGAGGAGGGCATTCACTACTTTTCTCATCTCTGTGACCAAGGACCCGGGAAGAAGTGACTTAAGGGAGGGTCTATTTTGTCTAATCAATTGGGAGGATGCAGCCTGGCACAGCAAGGAAGGCATGAACAGTTTCTTGTAGGAGCTGCATGTGGTAGTGCTCCTCATGTCTCAGTGGACCAAGGACAGGGGAAGGCAAGCAGGAAGGATCTAGGGGTGATGTGCACTCAAGATAGCACTGTTGTAACCTGCTTACTCCAGCTAGGCTCTGCTTTCTAAGGATTATACACACACACACACACACACACACACACACACACACACACACACACAC